GGCCACCGACACACGTCAGGTTCCAAGTCATCACAGTAGCCACCCATTATATCGCAAACGAATCTGCGTGCAGGCCTTTATAAAGGGGTAAACACCCATTGCGGCAAAGAATGCGACAAAACTGTCATAACGGATGTCTACTTCCATCAGACATCAACTCTCCCCAATAATCTTCATAGGACACGACAATCAACACAGGCCAACTGTGCAACAACAGAAAGTCTGATGGGCACTAAGGTACATTGGAAAGGTATTCAAAGGATTTTCTCGTCTCGTGCAACTGCTCTGGATCGCCATCGTCCACAGACTCAAGCCACAGGTATGGCGTCTTATTAAGAGACTCAAGTTGTTCCTCCACAGCAACTGTAAAACAGCGATTCTAACTGGAATACATGCAGATGCCTGTTTACCCCCCGACACATTGCCATCTCCCTCTCCACTCATCCCTTGAACTTTATCTGTACCTCCAGCCCGCTGATCATTGTCGTGTACCGTTAAACAACGAGAAGATTGTCTACTCGCTAGGCCATCATCCTCTCTGAGCCCCTGTAAACCTTACAACCCCCTACCCCCACACTTAACGACCGAAAGCACTCCTAAATGCGCGCACTGCCTTTTGTGGCCCCCCATCGTCACCTTCTCTTACGAGAATCCAACCGCGCCTGTTCATTTCGCATGTTGGCAACAAGTCCAAGTTTAGAAGACGAAGATGAGATCAGTGGAACAAGAAATTTATTGGCCTGACGTTTCGGATTCTCACTCACTCGGCACGTTGAGACGCACTGCAGTGAAATGGAAGATAAGGTTGCTGAAGTACAATATCTTCGAGGGGTAATGAGAGCCAATGGTTACCCGCGCAACTTTGTCAACCAGTGCATACGAAAACGACATCAGAGATCAAATCCAACCGGCCCCAAATTTCGCCGGGCTCTTCCGTAAGTGAACAATGTCTCGGGAGCCGTCAGTCGTCTTCTCACTCCACTTGGAGTTGGGGTTGCACACAGGCCGGAAGCAACCATTAGGCGCCAAGTCATGAGGCCAAAAGACCCGCTGCCACGGCAGGAAACGTCTGGAGTCTTTTACCGGATCTGATGTTGTTGCGGACAAAGCAACTATGTCGGAGAAACTGGGAGACTACTAAGTATGCGAATTGCCGCGCACGCAGCAGCAGTGAGGCGTGGAGACGCTAGCTCTCAGGTGGCACACTCGACGGGCCTCAGCGATATTTTCAAATTTCAAGAGGCCGAAATCCTCGCAAGGGGTGACAACCGCGTGAGCCGAGAGCTGCTCGAGTCATGGTTCTCAGGCCCGCAATCCATCAACAAGCACAATGACCCCCGGTACCATATTCCGTGCTGAGATTTTCCCTGGGCAGGCAAATCGGTCACGTGGGGAGGGCGCGGGCGAGCAATTATCCCAGTGACAGTGAGCCAATTTGCCAGTATCCAGCACGGATGACGAAATCACGGCCATTAACGACACGGACTCGGACTGACAAGCCACCACCGCATAAATTACTACCCCGGCGGTGATTGCGAGTGCTGTTAATTACAGCGCGCATATGGCCCCACGGCAACCGCGTGCTGTAAATACTGCACTCCTTGTGCCACCATCACCTTTATCTGCGAATGTCTCTGATGATGGATTCGAGTGAGAATCCGAAACGTCAGGCCAATAAATTTCTTGTTCTAGTGATCGCATCTTCGTCTTCTGAACTGCAACCTGGAACTCGTCTGTTCGCTTCTACCAGCAAGTCCAAGTTTCTCAAGTACACCTGAGTTCTACTGTGGAGCCTCTCCTTTCTTCAGCAACACCGGCCAAGGACGCATAATACTTAATCTATGCATAATTTATGTAAGCTTTGCCGACAGGGACACTGGAATGGTCATTTCTGGCTTGTCAGTCGCCGTCAGCCAGCAGTCTTATGCATACCCTGGGGTTCGAGCGAGCACATTGAAATGATCGGCTACAGTTGGATCGACTGTCAAACAAACACAGGAATCTCACAAGACAGAGTATCTCATTTGGCAGCAAGTTGTCCCCTTGGTGATGGCACAAAAAACCCACGCTATATTGTCAGGGTAGGGCAGTATGCTCTCAAGACAGTGTGCACTGAGATGAGCATTGTGGGCCGTTTATAGGGGTACGGGGTAGGACTGATCACATCCAGAAAGTCCACACCGTACTGAAAGATCGGCAGACGTACCTAATGACGACACGGCCGCACAGAACTCTCTCCGACCCGTAAACAAGCAAAGCACTGAGGAAGCTGAAGCGGTTGACCGTAAGACCAACGAATATACCCCCAGGTCCTACCAACTATTCAGAGTACACGAAGTCGACGTTCTTCTCCAACAAACCTTACCATTGCGCAGGACATTAACATTAACCCTGCTTGAACGACGGTTTCAACATCTGAGCCTTCTCACTTTGAACGCAGACACAAAGCCTAGGTTGAGCTCATCAGTTCCTGAGGCGGTTCCTGCGGATGTGACTCGACGCAGGCAATTTAGTAGTGTCATTTGACGTTAGATCTATCTCCATTTAAATTATGTAGGACCCGGCAGCCGAAACGGTCAGCAAATTGATCGAGCGCTAGTGTGACCTGATATGTGAGGTGGTGAAGCAGAAACGTTTCGTCGAACTTAGTAAAGCTTGTCCTAAAACGTACTTCACATCGAAAAAAAAAACACGATCGACCACGTCAAAAATACGTCGATGCAGTCAGCGCACTCGGGTTTAATCGGAAAGACAGTTTTTCGAAAATGTAAGACGCTAATTCACGTAACCCACGGACTCGAACTTTGAACAATACTTTCCTCATCGGGGGGGGGGAATGATCTCAGAACTCCGTGATGTTTTCAATTTCATTTCACTTGTCCTATAGGCCGCCGGTGAGCACAGGGCTAGCGAAGCAATGGATGATACATGGCAGGTCTGCCATTGCTTCGCTAGCC